TGAACTGTTTTCACAGACAGTGGTTTTCAGAAGTGTTCCTGAGCCCATGCAGTGATTTCCACTGCAGAATCATGTCTGTTTTTAATGCAATGCTGTCTGAGGGCCCAAAGATCACGGCCAACAAATACTTTTTCACTCACATACAGAGATTTCTCCAGATTCTCTGAATCTTTTAATGATATTATGTACTGTAGATGATGAAAAGCAATTTTGAAAATGCTATTTTACATTGAGAAATGTAACTATTTGATTGTGCAGTCTTTCACAGAGTGGTGAACCCCTCCTCATCTTTACTTCTGAAAGACTCCGCCACTCTGGGATGTTCTTTTTTGTACTCAGTCATGTTACTGACCTGATGCCAATTAAAACGAACAGGCAAGCGAGAGAGAGAGAGAGAAACATACCGACCAGACACCCCTTATCCAGGCCGGACACATAAGAATCTCTTCAGCTAGCAGGTTGGTGTGTTCTCTCTGGGGCTTTGCCTTTTTCTTGTTTTTCTTCCTCTCTCTGGGCCTGGGCTAAGCAGTCATGGAAAATCCTGGGAAGTCTCTCTTGATAAGGTGGGGAACAGTGAGATCTTCCACCAACCCAGGGCCACTCCTGTTCTCTCTCTCTCTCTCTCTCTCAGTTTCTCTCTATTATGAGCTCAAAAAAGACAATTCAGTAAGGAAAAAGACAGGTGGAAAACACACACCTCAGTTGAGGTGGTAAGAGGAAAAAAAAAGGAAAACGGCTTTGGGTTCAGGGATTTGGTGGTTAGATAGACCCGTGGCAGTCCCCTGGGGGAGAGATCAGAGGGTGGAGGGAGAGTAGGGCCGGCTAAGATCCCCTTTATGGGTGTGTCAGTTATTGAACCTAGTTAGAGAGGAAGAGAAAGAAAAGGAGCAATTAGTCTTGACTGCTGTGCACACAGCCCTTTTTGTCTCTCTTCCTCTGGGTTGCAGCTGCTCTCCTCATCGGCCGGCAGTTGTATATGAACAGTTTCTGTACACGTGCTGCAGTCCACAACAAAGATGCTGATATTTGTTTTGGTCTGTCTTTCAGCACCTTAGGGAGCACTTCGGTGCACTGTCTTGGCTTGGCTGTCAATCTCTGCCAACAGGCCTTGTGTCCACCTTCACATCACATTTTTAACCAGTTTATTTTAATCCATTCATGGTGGAGGAATAAATGCAGTGTTCGGAGGCAAAATCATCAATGAAGAAAAATTATTACTATTTTACTATCATCAACTTTCCATATAATATACTATGGA